CGGCTGGCGATTCTATAGGTAAGGTTGAATGTATTCTTGACTCAAAGCTTGCAAGAGTTCATTTGTGGATGAAAAATAATAAACTGCAAATTAATTTATCAAAAACTTATGCGATTCTTTTTGTTCCTAAAATTGTCACCAATTTACAAACAATAACAATAACAATATTTTATTTGGCCACAAAATTTGATGAAAAAATCAAGGGCACGGGATGGCTGTGAGCAGTCTTTGAGACTTATCAAGCACAGCCACCTCTTCAAAATATGATATATAATTGTCAGTTTTATATACATATATATACATACATATATACATACACATATACATACATACATATACATGCATACACACACACATATATATATATATATACACACATACATGCTGACGAATTTATTACTTGCTGACGAATTTATTACTGACAAACTTGAAATATCTAATGCCTTCAATGATAATTTCATTAATTTGGTTAGTTCTTGTCGAAACACATTCTCTGTTGACTCCTTGAATAAACTAAAAAATTTTACAGATCCCGTTCTATAATCTTTTTTTCTTGAACCTACCAATCGGTCAGAAGTTATTCAAATAATGAATTCGCTTAAGCCCAAAATGTCAACTTCTGATGATGAACTTAACTCATTCATAGTTAAAACTTTCAAAAACGAAATTTTATCTCCACTTACTCATATTTTCAACATTTCTCTCAAACAAGGTATTTTTCCATCAAGCTTTAAACTCTCAAAAATTGTTCCTATCATGAAAAAAATGACCCCTATAACTTAAATAATTACAGACCAATTTCTTTATTATCACCTTTATCCAAAGTATTATAAAAACTGGTTTACAAACGCTTATTTTCTTTTCTTATGAAAAACAATGTTCTCTCTGAAAACCAGTACGGATTCAGAGCCCACCATTCATGTGAACTAGCCATTCTAGAATTGGTTCAAAATATATTGACCAACATGAGTTCACGTAGGCTTACTCTTGGAATATTCCTCGATCTTACAAAGGCATTTGATCTGATTGATCACGATATTTTGTTAAATAAACTCAACCATTATGGGATTCGTGGTATTACAAATCAATGGTTTGAGAGTTATATCTCTGGTAGAAAGCAATATGTTTTTGTGAATGATGTTAAATCTGGAACGCGTGAAGTTTCGTGTGGAGTCTCGCAAGGGTCTGTATTAGGCCCTTTGCTTTTTTTGATTTATATAAATGACATTGCCTACATATCAAAAAAATGAATTGTATTCTTTACGCTGACGATTCAAACATTTTTTTATTCTTCTGATGACTATAAACGAGATTTAGATGTCATAAATAATGAACTCAAATTATTCGAGAATTGGTTCTCTATGAACAAACTCATGGTTAATTCATCCAAATCGGCCTATGTTATATTTGGACCAAAGATTTTAACCAATAGTTTCTCGGACTTGGATCATGTGTTCAGCAATGTGAAATTAAACAGAACCAATCAAGTTGTTTTTTGGGTTTAGCTCTGCAAGATAATTTGTCTTACAGTTATCACATTGATAATCTTAAATCAAAAATCAATAAATTCATAGATATACTTTATAAAATCAAAAATAAGATTAATTCCACAATATTAAAAGATTTGTATTATAGCTTTATATACCCTTATATTCATTATTGCGTGATCATATGGGGAAATAGTCCTGCTTATCAGCTAGATCCCCTGTTAAAATGTCAAAAACGTTTTATAAGAATTTTATTCGATTTAAAATTCAATGACCACACCTCTAATTATTTTCAGATTGCAAAACTACTTTCAATAAAACAAATTTATTACACATGTATCTCAATATTTATATTTAAATTTATTAACAACTTAATTCCAAAAAATTTTAATAATTTGTTTATTTATAGTAACGCAATCCAGTTAAAACACACAAGACATACCTCAACATTTTATATTGAAAAAAACAGATTGAAACTTATCAATAGTAGCTTAAGAGTCGTCGGACCTAAGACGTGGAACAAATTACCTGAATATTTGAAAGAAGCAAAATCCGTTGTAAAATTTAAAAAAGACATCAAATCCTACTTTTTAACATTTAAACCCCCTTAACTTTTTGTGTGGGTTCATGTACGTGTGTATATATATATTAAGGTGAGTCGAAATGTAAAAAAATATTAAGTTGGAGATCCTGTACATGTCTAAAAAGTTGCTTTTTGATGTACTCGTTTGAAAAAACCTCACTTTTTATTTTATGGACAGTGTCTACAGGTCCCAACTCTGACTAGAAAGACTACATAAATACCCAATGTTAGTGTAATGTATTGCAATGTATTACAAATTAAAAAGAATGTAAACTGTAACGAATCAATGTTAAACAGCAACAATACAAAGTTGTATAACCTAACTGTTAATAAAATCTTTCTTGCTGTCTATTTTTGGTATCTCTAATCTGGATTTCTTACTCTGTAACACCATGCCATGACGGGACTTTCTCCCATAAACTTTACAGCTAGCAGCGCTAACGTCTTTAATTGTTCTCTCTACTGCCTGTGAATGACATGGAACATCGGGCAGTAGTATTGGATGTGTGTAAGTAAGTTGATCATTTGAAAGGTGTGATAGCATCGGAGGAGACGTAACATTACTCTGGTCCCAGTCAATCATGTTAATGAACGATGTTGCAGCCAGATTTAATGTTATATCCTTCTTATCAAAGACGCGAACCGGTATGTTACTATTAGTCTGCTTCTCTCTTGCTCTTATTATTTGTTCTACTGAAAAACGACGAATTTCCATATCACTATCACTAACTGCAGCTAAGAAAATGTTTTCAGCATGCGCAAAGTAGCAGTTATTTTCGAGAACAGGACAAACCACAGCCTGATCTAATGCATCAAGTTCCTGAAACAACTGAACTAAGTAAAAGAAGTTGTTAGCACCATTTTGGCAAGAAGAATTTGATTTAATTTTGAACCAAGAGGGTCCGAGAACCAAGAGAAGTTCAAAATGAAATGCGTTACTCTTCTGAGAGGTTCAGATGCCACTTCTCTAGACATGTAGAGACGCAAAATCCTGTTGGCTTTCGTCAACCATCGAGCATGACTTATATTTCCAAGTAAACTCTTCTTGAGGAAATCAATATCTGTAGAAGCCTGACGTCCACGCTGTACTGCTAGACATGCTTTCAAAAAGTACAGTTGGTCTGTGCTAAGATCCTTCTTGACAGCTTTATCACAATCAGTCACCTTACCAGTAATTGGCAAATAATTAACGACAGGCAATTCATTCGGATCATATTCTAGAGCTGAGCTAATTGTACCTGTCGATGTGGAAGGTCCTGTAATTCGAGCAAAATCCACGCCTGCCAAAAACCTTCTAAATGGCAGCTCGTTACAGTGTAGAAGGCATACCAACCACTGTAATGGTCTACCTAAGTTCTCTTCCAATTTTCTTATGATTCCGTTGCTTTTACCTGTATTATTATTTGTGCCATCACACACAACACCTTGAATGCTTTCTACGGAGTTTGTCTCTATAATAACTGACATTAACTTTTTTGTTATATCAGCAGCTTTACTACTTTCAGGAACTACATGATCGATGTATATGTTTCCTGGATACGAGACAATAGTATAGTGTTCTTTTTTACTTCTTCTACAACCAAAACTCTCAACTAATGTAACGTCTTGTTTTCCATCAAAGCCTATACAGCACAATTCCTTATTGCTCTGCATATGTTCTTCAACCAGAGTATCTCTCCAGAAATTCCTTTGTCGACGTAGCTTTGAAAGATCAAGAATTGTTGCTGAAGACAACATACTAAGGTCTTTTAAAACAGCATTAACAATTAGACATGTATCTCTGTTGCTAATTTTGCATCGATCAACTGCTTTACATAATTCCTTGTACTTGTTTCTGTTCTGCACTGATACTGTCTCTTCTTCTGATGTATAATTACTTTCAGACGTGTTACGCTCATCCTCATCAATATCTTCCTCAGTTTCATATTCAACCTCTTTTGACTGTGCTTCATCCCACACTGATTTCATCAATTTGCGTTTTTGTCTCTTTTCCAGTGTTGCTGTCGTTTCTTTGTCTACTCCACCAATTATCATATTTCTAACAGTTTTCTGGTCAACCCAGAAATCCCACTCTATCAATGGAATTTTATTTGGCAGTGGGCACGTACATAAGTTCCTATCTCTAATGCCCGAATCAAAGCATTTGCAGGTACAAATGTCAAATAACTGCTTAAAAAAATTCAATTTCTCAGTGAACGTGTCTGATGTTCTTTTTGCATCTGAATATTTTTCAAGTGTATGTACTTTATCCATAAGTCTTCTAATCCTAATGATTGTGCTATTCACTTCTATTGTACGAATACTTGCTTTTGAATAAACACTTTTCACTCTGTCTGCTAAAATTGAATATCTTTCTTGCAAGCTTATTTCTAATACTGTTTTCTGATTATAATAGAACGCCTTAATAACGTCGTCATATGATGGGATTTGATTTTCAGGAAGATCAACTAACTGTCCAAACAATGGATGTTTAGTTGCACTTCGTGTAAACATACTATCCATATTTAATATAATTTGTCTAAAATAATAAAAAAAACTACAACAAGTTATGTTTACAATAAATAAAAGCTGTTAAAACAATTTTTCATAAGAATTTAGTCAATAAATATTTCAATATTTATACACACTATAATATGTTTTAGCCCTCTCATAAATAGGCCTACATGTTAAATGAAGTGATTTATCTACAGTCTAGGCTATAGCCTACTGTAGTATACATCTATATTAGCCTACTTGAATTTTATTATAGATCTATTATTGCAAAAAAGAAAATAAAATTACAAAATATTATATTAGATATTTTGCTTGTTTCTAAAAAATCCAGCACATGGTTTGTTGCTTATGTTGGTGACGTCACATGTAAATAACGTTATAAAATTTACTCCATTTCTTTTTTAGCACTTGTAGTTTGGTGCTAAGCCATTTGCCAAGGCATTTTAGTCAATGATTTATAGTTGGTACGATTGTACCAAGGAAATGGTTAAAATACACCAAATAAGGTAAGACTTTAATCAAAAGTTGGGACCCCTAAACGTTTCATAAAAAATCTTTAAATATTATTTTCATACTGTACTGATGCCAAGACAACTTTTTGTTCATGTACAGGAAAGATAAAAAAATTCGATATTTATATATATATATATATATGTGTGTGTTTGAATAAGTGTGTGTGTGTGAATAAGTATGTTTTACGTGGGTCTATATATATATACTTGTGTTTTAATAATTACAAACGACATTCTGATAAAAATTTAAAACAGTTGATTACTTAATAATTATGATTCCATTTTTGGTTTTTTAGGATTTGTAATATGAATGTGAGTTTACATGCACTAAAATATTTAAAATATGCTCTCATTTTTACAATTGTCACTGGTAATCATTACAAAAAAACCATATATTCTTTTCGATTTCCAAATCATTTCTTTTCATTGATATCATTTTTTTGATTTCTTTATTTTGATTTGATGAAATAAAAAATGTCAAATACACACATATACTTACAAGATAAACAGATATATACGGATAAGTAGTCATATATTAAAACAAATAAGCCGCAATCTTACTAACAAATTATCAGTGTTCATAAAAATATATACTTGCAAGATTAACACATATACATGTCAAGTACATACAAGTACAGCCAGTACAGTATAGAACATACTATATACATCGTAATCTTTCTAACAATGTTTAATTCATCTATATATAACAAACACACAAGCATTCTTATCTGAATTCATTGTCAAAATAAAATAATTTTTTAATAATGTTTACAAAAATTAAACTTATTATGCAAAAACCAAGATAAACATACAGCATGTACATACACAACACATGAATGCACACCGACATGTCATTACCAAAAATAATTGACAAAATTTGAACTTTCACAAAAATAATTTAATAATCACAACCACAGTTTATTAAAAACAATTTCAATTTATTTCTTAAATTTTTCACATTAAAGATATCCACAGGAAAACCCATTTGTAAAACGTGGTTCCAGCTTCTTGGATATGATATGGTTGAAGAGCATATTTGTTTTTGAATTATTCGTCTTTAAAAAATTTTTTCTTCTCTTAGCGTTACAGTAATTGTAGTAATGGCTGAACATCTGTGGTAATTTATTCAAAAGTTGTTTGTAAACAAAACAAACTGCACAGTGTAGCTTTAGTTGGTTGAAGTTTAAATTATTTGTCTGCTGAAAAAGAGGTTTTGCATGAGTTAGTTTTTTCGATAGTGTTATTGTCCTAATATTATCTTAATATTGTCTTAATATTATTATTGGATTTGTTACTGTTGGACATGTACCTGACCAGATAATATTACAATAAGACACATGCGGCAAAACTATACTGTTGTAAAGCATGTTCAAGCATGATTTTGGTAAATAAAATTTGATTTTGTTTATGACTCCAATTGATTTTGCCAATTTAGAACAAATGTTAAGAACATGTGGCTTGAATGATAACTTTTGGTCCAACATAACTCCCAAAAATTTTACTGTCTTACTTTCTGTGATGAGGGTGTTGTTGACTATGATTTTATATGGCTCCTTGTAATTCATATAATTCACTGGCCCAAGTACTATCATTTGGGTTTTCTTCTCATTTAGCATCAATCTATTGTGATTAAACCATGAATCAATATGTCCTACTTCAATATTTGCTTTCTCTATTAGTTCATTGATATCTTTACCTTTGCAAAACACATTTGTATCATCGGCATAACAAACAAAGTCAAAAAAAGAGGTTGCATTTGGAAGATCCCTTATAAACACAATGAACAACAGCGGTCCCAAGATGCTTCCCTGAGATACCCCTATTTTATTGTGCATCAACTTTGATTCCCTGTCATTAAACCACACAAACTGTTTTCTATCCGTCAAATAGCTTCTGAACCATTCAAGCACTTTACCCCTTATACCATTAATTTCCATTTTTCCCAGAAGAATATCGGGATCGATTAAATCAAATGCCTTGGATACATCTAGACAGGTGCCAATAACAAATTTTTTCTCTTCTGCTGCTATTCCAATTTTCCTTGTCAACTCAACCAGTGCCACCTCTGTAGAATGCTGATTTCTGAACCCAAATTGACAATTGGACAGTAAGTTGAATTTATTTAGAAATTTAGTCAGTGTAATATGCATTATCTTTTCAATAATCTTTGAGAATGAAGGTAAAATAGACACAGGTCGGTAATTTGTGATGTCAGATATACCCTTTACTTTCGGTAGAGGAACAACCTTTGAAATTTTAAAACATGCAGGAAATTTACCACTTAAAAACGATAGATTTATCAAATATTCTAAAACGTTTGCTGTCGAACCGATAGTGGAAATCACTATTTCCATCGGAATGTGATCATAACCATAAGATGATTTGCTCTTCAACAATTTAGTAACTTCAATAATCTTTGAAGACGATGTTTCCAATAAGAAAAATGAATTTGGTACATTCACTGTTTTTATAATCATATCTTTCCATATAGAGCTCTTTGGCAATGAATTTCGTAAATTTTGAGCCAATTCTGTGAAATATTTATTTAATGATTCTTCAGGTGAGTCCAAGAGCTGCCCATTGGACATCAGTTTGCTATAACTATCTTTGTCACAATTATTTTTATTTAATATATTGCGAATAATGGACCATGTTTTTTGCAGTCACTTTTACTATTATTTATCAATTCATGGTATTACCGTTTTTTCTGGAATGAAACCAATTTTTTACACTGTTTACTGACATTTGAAAATTTCATATAATTTTCCTGACTTGGATTTTTTATATATCTTTTGAACAAATATTTTTTATTTTTCAACATCTTTGTAACTTCTTTAGTTAACCAAGGTCTTTGTTTGATCATCTTTTTAGCATTTCGTGATGAATCAGTTTTGCAAAATCTGTTTAATTCATTTTAAAAAATTGGGATAAAACGTTCAAATGCTACATCTACATCTGAATGCACAACCAACAACCGACCAATCAAATGAAGCAAGTGATTTATTTAAATCTGAAATATTGTTATACGAAAAATTAAATTTGTCTCTGTGCAATGTAACAAGTTTATTTTTAGTTATTTGAAAATTAATACAAAGAATTATTGGGAAATGATCAGATAGGTCGGACATCAGCACCCCACACATCATCACTTTTTCAGGAGCTGTTGTAAAATAGTTGTCAAGGAGAGAACACCTGTTTGTAGAAATTCTTGTAGGCATGTTAATCATTTGATGCATATTAAATGACAAAATGAGTTGACGAAAACTGTTGCTTGTGTTATTCTCTTCTTTAAGCATATCGATATTAAAGTCTCCCATAAGCACTGATTGTTTATTCTCATTACTGACCCTCATCAACACTTCGTCAAGTTTCTTTAGCTAATTTTTGCAGTTTTGCGTTGGTGGACGATAGGTTACCAACAATACAACAGGAGCTAATGAGTCATTCTTCAGTTCAATAGAAAATAATTCAATTTCACTAACATTATTTAAATCTGTTCTCACAGTATATTGGATTTCATTTTGAATATAAAAACCAGCGCCACCTCCAGCTTTAAATGAACGATTTTTGCCAAGAAATTTATAGTTGTTCATGTTGATCAATTCTTCTTTATCCTTATCCAACCATGTTTCAGTTACTGCTATTACATCAAAAGTAAAACTAAAATTTTCCAAAAAATTTAATAAAATATCAGATCTTTTTTGCAAACTTCTTATATTGATATGCATTATATTAAAAACACAGTTTTTACAGTTTTTTTCATTACTCACTGAGTTATAATCATTGTTTACATCATCAATTTCATCATACAATTTGCATAAATTTAACCTGAGTGAATTTGAAGTTAATGCTTCATCCATTATTTATGTCATGATGTTTTTGACCAAATTTCCACCCTCTAACAATAACGTGTCTTGGCAGAACTTCTGGATTTTTCATCTTTGAATTACCACTGCACACTCAAAACATAGCAGAGTGTAAGGCAAACTCTTAGACTGTACAAAATTATTTCTACTGTTAAACTGAGCATTTAAGTTATTTATGCATAAATCCCACTTGAGATTCTAACACATTATTTTTAGTAATTAGGCTGTCTATTTTATTTAACATTTTTTCATTATTTATATTTATAATTTCCATTAATTCCTTTGTCCACTCTTGAGGAATTCTCTTTGGATTTATTATTACAAAAGTCGGAAAATTAGACAAAAAATCACTGGTAGAAGCAAAATTTAGAATATCAATTATTTCTAATAATTTTTCCAACTTTTTATTCCCTCGCTGTTTCAACAGTAGTTTGTCCTTTTTATCATCTTTTAACAATTCTATTTCGTTTAAAAGAATTTTTTTACTAGCCATTAATTCTTCCGAGTTGTAGAAACGTGCGGTATTGTTTAAAAAATCTTCATTATTCCATGAATTTAAATTTTCAAACAAAAACCATTCAACAATTCAGAAACTTGATATCGCTTGGTCGCCATTTTCAAACGTTCTCTATTTTATACAATAACAATTTGGATGGGTCGATTGAACAAATTAGATTAGTCTTTCTAGGTGTTACAATCTCAAGCAATCTAAGTTGGAAAGAGCACACAATTAACATACCAAACAAAGTATCTAAAAATCTAGGAATAATCTATAGACTAAAATATCTCTTTCCGAAATGTGTATTACTTAATTTATACTATTCTCTTATTTATCCTTATTTCATTTATTGTATTGTAGTTTGGGGTCGTTACATTAAGTCTCATATTATTATCTTAGATAGATGTTTATACTTCTTTATTCGTAGTTATTATGACCTGAAAAAATATGATCATATTTCAGATTATTTGTCTAATTTGTTGTCTATTCCAAAACTGTACGTTCTCAGATTATTATTATTATTATTTAATGATATAGTAAAGAAGAAATTTGTTATGTTTAATTCAATTTAATTGAATCTTTTGAATATTGCAAAAGAACAACTCGGCACACTCTATTATACAATTGTATTGTCCCTCGTACTGTTTTATTTTCATCTTCAGTTTTTGGTTTTGGTTTAAAACTGTGGTGAAAATTACCGTGTTTAGTTTTACAAGTATCTAACTATGGGCTATTTAAAAAATCGATTTTTGACTTAATTAAGAACAACTTTTTTTACAGCTTATGATTTAATTATTTCAATTATTCAAGTTATTTTATAAGAAAAAACTTTTAATATGAATTCAATTGTTTTGTTTAACTTGACAAATTTTGATGATATATATATATATATATATATATATATATATATATATATATATATATATATATATATATATATGTAGAGTTTATATAGCGCTCGTTCAAGTTCTCACAAACGCTTTATCCCACAAGTGCGCTTTGATTCTTTTTCTAAAAATCACTTCATCAATCTCATTTGTTTTCAGCTCTGTTGGCAAATCATTCCACATCCTTGGGCCATACACTGCAAAACTTCTTGACGCCATTGATGAGTTTACCAACGGTTTCTGAAAATCATTGTTTTTGGAAGATCTTAAGAATCTACCCGCCACTGTTATTGGTGTTTTTTTGCACAGATCCATTAGATATTTCGGAGCCGAACCTTGCATACATCGTTTCATCATCACCAAAACTTTGAAAACGATTCTGCTTTCAATTGGTAGCCAATATAATTCACGAAAAATTGGGGTCACATGGTCATATTTTTTTCCTTGTACTATAAGCTTCGCTGCCCTGTTTTGTATTGATTTTATCCCATATATTGTTGACTTCGGACATCCGCTCAGCAAACTGTTGCAATAATCAACCCGACTGACCACAAACGCTTGGATAGAGATTTTGTTGTATCCAGATCAAGAGAGGCTCTTATGCGGCCAAGCTGTCGAAGCTGAAATGAACAGTCCCTAACGAGGTTTTTCACATGCTGATGCATATTCAGTATACTGTCCAACCAGAAACCCAAATTTTTCACCACACCAGTGAACGGCACCATCACAGACCCAAATCTTATGCTCTTTACATCAGTTTTCGAGAGCTGATGTTTAGTTCCAATCAACATTACTTGTGTTTTTTCCTCATTTAATTTTATTGTGTACGAACCCAACCAATTCTTTAGGCACATTATTTTCTCTGAGACAAGTTCAACCATTTCCCCCACCGACCCCACCCCAGCGTTGCTGATGATCTATATGTCATCTGCATATGCGTACACGCGCAGATCATTATGTTTCAACAATTTCGCTACTCCTGAAGTGTACAGGAGAAAAATGATCATATTTGTTCTAAGTAATTTCTGCTCATTTTTGGTTGAATTTAACTTGTTTTCATTGGCTAGCTATACAATTTTATTTTCATTTATGTTGTTATTTTCCTGTGGGTATATGTTTGTTTTTATTTGGTTTGGGTTTGTTGGGTGGTCGTACAAGCTTGTTTGAGCTTCTGTGTCTCCATGCTTTTTGCTGAATAAATTGAATATATATATATATATATATATATATATATATATATATATATATATATATATATATATATATATCAAACACTCAATACTACTATTTTTTATTTTATTTAATTTTAATTTAATTTATCTGAATTTTTATTGAATTCGTATTTATTTAAAACAGTGGACGTGGTGAGTCTAACATGGTCTAACAGCGCTGTTTCGAATAATCCATCGTCAGAGCCTTTACAATTGAAAATTACATGAATTAAATAAAATGCATATTAAATTAATTGTATGTGAAATAAACTAATTAAGATAGTAAAATGAGGTAAACATTATGTACGTAGAAAATCGATTTATGGTTTAAAAATTAATAGCATAAGAAAATCAGATATTAAAATATTGAAACAAATATATATATATAAATATATATATATATATATATATATATATATTAAGAGAAAACTTTATATAGCGTTCGTTATAGCAGTTTCCACAAACGCCATCAAATTTTAACTAATATTAATAACAAAATAGCAAGAATGAAAAGAGATGAACTATAAGAGATGACACAGCAAAATCACGCGATCCAATCTTTAGCTGTCTATGAGGAACCACAAGAATGTTCGAATCGTCAGACCTCAGACGCACACCAGATGCGATCGACGTTTTTAATTTCAGTTTAACTGATAAATATTTTGTAGCCAGACCATTTAGTGATTTGAAAACTGTGACAGAGATTTTAAAAACAATTTTTTTATTTATGGGCAACCAATGCAAATCACTCAGGATCGGTGTGGCATGATCATACCATCAACATCCAGCCACAATCCAGGCATTACGGTTTTGTATCGATTGCAGAATATTGATGGATCTAGTCGGGAGTCCATAAAATAAACTATTGCAATAATCGACACGTAAGTGCACCAACACATGCGCCAGATACTGCATTGCCTCTTTATCAAGTGATTCTCGAATTTGTTTCATTCTTCTAATCTGTGCCAAGCATGATATAGAGATCATTTTAAAATGAGATTTCATTGTTAGGTTTGAATCAATTATAAAACCTAGATTTGACACTGCTTTACAGAAATCTATTTTTTGTCATTCATAACAACAGAATTTATATCCAAATCTGCCAACTGCTGCCTGGTACCAATAGGAAGAAATTTTGTTTTACCCTGGTTAAGCTTCAATATATTTCTCGACATCTACAGATTAACCTCCGCCATACATTCAATAAATCTCGTAATCTCGTCTTGAAATAACTTCTGTTTACCTGATAACATAATTTGAATGTCGTCTGCATATGCGAGGCTTTTAAAATCATAAGAATCAATTATCTTTAGCACATCAGCTGTATAAAGCAGAAACAATAAAAGACCCAAAACAGATCCCTGCGGCACACCAGAGCAAACCACACTGACGTAGGACAAACTCCCGTTGAACAAGACCTGCTGTGTTCGGCCAATCAAGTAGTTTCTGAGCCAATTTATTATTTCCCCAGATATTTCAAAATTTTGATGCAGCCTGAGCAGTAACATTTCATGATTGACACAGTCGAAAGCCGAGCTCATGTCCAAAAATGCCAACAAGGAAATGTTTTGAGCATCCATCTCAGCATAAACCCTCAAGAGAACATGTAGCAGGGCAGTTTCAGCCGAGTGAAATCGTCTAAAACCGGATTGATGTGCAGGCATGAGATTATTATCATTCAAATGGCAAGCAATTGTCTCAACACCATTCTTTCAATGAGTTTTGATATAAATGACAGATTACTGACTGGTCGATAATTACTGACGTCACCTGGATCTGCTTCACTTTTTTTCAACAACGGCACAACAATTGCATGTTCACAAGGTGTGGGGAAGCAACCTACCCTCATGCACAGATTTATCAAACTGGTTATAAATATATATATATTTATATATACTGGTGTCTCTACTTTGTTGATTCTTTGTTCGTTCGAAGTGGAATTAAAATAAAATTCGAAATAATTTTTTATTTGGTCCATGAAAACATAACCGTGGAAAATCTTAGTTGGAAAAAAAGTTCAAAAGAAGCCATTTATTGTCAGCAGTATCAACCAACAGTTGTTTAGTTCCTGTAGTATCAATAAAAACATAGATACTTCAAAATTTGACAAATATTCGTATACGGGCTAAAACTTTTACCTATCATCAATACGCAAGAAAAACATCATCATTGTAAGCCATGAACCCTCCCGACATTTGTAGCACATATCATAGCACATAACATGTACTCTTATATCTCTAGCAATAATAGGGCCTCCAATGATAAAAAAAACTGTTTTTAGTTTATTTTTCTTTCAAAGATTTAGTTAATTGTTACTTGAATGTTTTGTAAATGAGGAGAGACAGAAATTAATTGTGTTACGGACAGGAAACAGATTACAATTTTCGTTTATCAACAATGTACTTGAAAAATTTTTATAATAACAATAACAACAAAAACTGTCAGAAAATTGACTAAGATGAAAACAGACTTGTGTGGCCAGTAATCAGACAGGATAATAACAGATGCACACAAAACAGTGATGTCAGCTAAAAAACTTATGGAAACTTTTAATAAACACGAGTAAAAATAACTACGAAGTGTTGATAATCTTATTAAAAAGCTATTATAAGCAGAGTGGGCCTATAAGTTCAATGAAACATGCATTAAAAAAATCTTTGTTGTTCCAAACTATATATATATATATATTATATATATATATATATTATATATATATATATATATATATATATATTATATATATATATATATTTTTACAATATTCTATAAATTCTACCGAATGTTTGGCGTTAATATGTTTGTAGTTCGTTTTTACGATTTTTCTCACTAAAGTTTTTTGGGAA